TGCCAAGCCTCAGCCGGTATATCCAGAACCCCCCCCCCCCCCAAGCCCTACATATACAAACCCCACCCACTGAACCTCAACCCCTACATCTGGAGTCACCCTGCACCCAGACCCCCGCCTCCAGACCCGCACCCCTACTGAGCTGCCTGCACTCAAACCCCCACCCTGATGCCTCACCCTCTGCATCACCCTGAGCCCCCACATACAGACCCCCATGCCACTGACCCCCCCAACTACCTGCATGAAGACCCCCACCCCATTAAGCCCTGCTCCTTCAGTACTCAGACGCTTCCCACCTGCTGAGCCCCCCAGACTCCTCTGCTGAGCCCCAACCATCTTCATCTGGAAGCCCCTGCAGAGTCCCATTGACCCTGCAACTGGAACCCCCAACGAACCTCTGTGCATCCAGATCCCCCCCACACCTAGACTCTTCACTGAGCTGCCTGCACTCAGATTGTCCCATGCAGAATCCTCTCACCTCACGCCTGGATCCCCTCCACACTGAGCCCCTCAACACTTGGATCCTGCCTGCCCCACACCTGGCGCAGAGCAGTAGGGCCCCAGAGTGTTGTTGGGGCAGGCCCAGGCCTTGTGCTATGTCAATGATGAGGCTGCACCTGACCGTGAGTCTGTGTTCTGGGGGGTTGGGGAGGGGGCTGCGGGGTGATCTCCCACCTTTGTGTAGCCAGTGGCCTGAGCTCCACACTACCATGCTGGAGCCTCTGCATTTATTTATTGACAAATAACACTTGCAGAATTTTAAAAACATTGTGTGCAGAATTTTTAATTTTTTGGTGCAGAATACCTTAATGTTTATTCCTGAGGGCATCCATGTTGAACATCCTGTATATATTAGAAACGCACTTAAAAATAAACCAAACCCGTCTGTGGGTTCACCTCCACATAAATTGCCCTGTCTACAATACATTTTTTAACATCTATTGTATCTTAAAAACATGATAATATGTTTAAAAAAATACATCTTTTATCCTAATATGGATTAGGAGTCTCTTGAAGTCTCTGCCTCCATCACCAGTTATTCTTGTGCAGAAAAGATTCAGGCCACTTGGGGGAGGTGGGGTGGCAAGAAAGCTTAAAGTCTGCAGAAATTCACAAGGTCACTAGAGAGGTGAACATATTGGTTCAATCCAACCTCCAGAAAGAACAAACATCATCATCTTCACCCACAAAATGAATCTTTCCTACTTTCACAGCAGTGGACAGTTACAGTTCCTTAATTTTCTTTAATATTTCAGGTTTTTCAATGCTCTAAATATATCAGACGTGCATACCAAATGTGTATTTTATACATATCAAAAAAGTTATTCAAAAATCAAATGTATTTTCAACACCATATTATACATAATACATACATATACATTAAAAACAAAAAAGACTGATGCAAACTGTTGCAAAAACACAAATTTTGAAGGTCATCTAAAGCTAGAAGTCTTTAGTAACTGTTTTTTTAATAGTTACAGACAATCAGAAGAGATGCTTTAGAAAAAATAGAGGTGGAAAGAATATTTTTGGATGAAGTAAATTCCACTCTATTTAAAAATTAGCTGTATTACTGTAACTTTCCAAACGTTCGTGACTTGGATCTTAAAAGCTGGTGTGTGACAGCTCTATTAACTTAGAAGTGGGATCACTGCACAATAAGTTTATTGACTAAAGCATCCAGGCAGCACAGGGATTGTCAAAGCTCAAAGACAGCCAGCACACAGCCAGAGAAAGCAACTTAGAGAGGGCAGGCAGAATGAGAGCATGAAGTTGAAAGTTCTCCCCTCCCTTTCTCAGAGACATTAACCAGGATTTTAATTTAAGAGTGTATTATGAAGACTCACCCCTCTCACCCTCCATTTGAAAACGGAGGGGCAAAGGGCAGTAATTTCTCCCTCTGTTTTGTGTCTTTAAGAAATGAAGATAGAAGTTTCAATAAAATATTGGACAGGTATCCAAAATCTCACCAATAATATCTTTTTCCTCTTTCTACTTCCTTCAATGGGCTTTCAATCAGATCTTTAGTTTTACTCTAACTCAAATCAGGGTTGTGATTTTCCACAGCTCCAAAAAATTTCATTGGAGGTTTTATTAAATGAAAAAAATAGGGCTGTCGAATAATCACACAGTTAACTCACGTGATGAACTCAAAAAAATTAATTGCACTGTTAAACAATAGAATACCACTTCAAATTTATTAATTATTTGTGGATGTTTTTCTACATTTTAATATATATTGATTTCTAGTACGACACAGGATACAAAGTGTACAGTACTCACCTTATATTATTTTTATTACAAATATTTGCACTGTAAAAATGGTAAACAAAAGAAATAGTATTTTTCAATTTTTTCATAAGTACTGTAGTGCAATCTCTTTATTGTGAAAGTGTAACTTACAAATGTAGATTTTTTTTGTTCCATAACTGCTCTCAAAAACAAAACAATGTAAAACTTTAGAGCCTACAAGTCCACTCAGTCCTACTTCTTGTTCAGCCAATTGCTAAGATAAACAAGTTTGTTTACATTTACAGGAGATACTGCTGACTGCATCTAATTTACAATGTCACCTGAAAGTGAGAACAGGCGTTCGCATGGCATTTTTGTAGCCGGTGTTGCAAGTTATTTACTTGCCAGATATACTAAACATTCATATGCCCCTTCATGCTTTGGCCACCATTCCAGAGGACATGCTTCCATGCTGATGGTGCTTGTTAAAAAAATAATGTGTTAATTACATTTGTGATTGAACTCCTTGGGGAAAAATTGTATATCTCCTGTTCTGTTTTACCTACATTCTGCCATATATTTCATGTTATAGCAGTCTCGGCTGATGACCTAGTACATGTTCGTTTTAAGAACACTTTCACAGCAGATTTGACAAAATGCAAAGAATGTACCAGTGTGAGATTTCTAAGGATAGCTACAGCACTCGACCCAAGGTTTAAGAATCTGAAGTGCCTTCCAAAATCTGAGTGTGACGAGGTGTGGAGAATGCTTTCAGATGTCTTCAAAGAGCAACACTCCGATGCGGAAAACTACAAAACCCAAACCACCAAAAAAGAAAATCAACCTTCTGTTGGTGGCATCTGACTCAGATGATGAAAATGAACACGTGTCAGTCCGCTCTTCTTTGGATCATTATCGAGCAGAACCCATCATAAGCATGGACACATGTATTCTGGAATGGTGGTTGAGGCATGAAGGGACATATGACTCTTTAGCACATCTAGCAGGTAAATATTTTGCGATGCCAGTTACAACGGTGCCATGAAAATGCCTGTTCTCACTTTCAGGTGACATTGTAAACAAGACGTGGGCAGCATTATCTCCTGCAAATGGTAACCAAATTTATTCGAGCGATTGGCTGAAGTAGGACTGAGTGGACTTATTGGTGCTAAAGTTTTACATTGGTTTAGTTTTGAACGCAGTTATTTTTTGTACATAATTCTACATTTGTAAGTTCAACTTTCATTATAAAGAGATTGCACTCCAGTACTTGTATTAGGTGAACTGAAATATACTTTGTTTTTTTACATTGCAAATATTTGTAATAAATATAAAGCGAGTGCTGTACACTTTGTATTCTGTGTTGTAATTGAAATATATTTGAAAATGTAGAAAACATCCAAAAGTATTTAAATAAATGGCATTCTATTATTGTTTCAGTGCAATTAATAGCAATTAATTTTTTAAATTGCTTGACAACCCTAGAAATAACAAAATTCATATTATGTGGTTCACTGAAGCATATTTATTCTTCAAATATAAAAAGGCATATATATTCTCCAAAATGAAAAGCTTGCAGTTCTGTAAGATAAGACCACAGCTATCAAGACCCTCAATCAACTAACTTATTAGGCCTAACAATCTCTTGACTCTGTCCTTCTATTAATAAAAGTTGGTATCTGTATTGTTTTACCAATTTATTTGCTTTTTCAGCACCTAACTGGTTACAAATTTTTGATCAAACCAATACAAATGTGATAAAAAACACTCTTTTGATCTAAGCTGGCTGGACAAGTTTTTTAAATTTTATTTTGCTATTTTACTCTGCACAATGTTTACATCTGGCTTTAGAGGAGGAACGGTTTTTGTTACTTTGTTCCATTCTAATTGCTTACCACCACTTTCTTCAACTTTAGACAAATTGTGTCAAGATTAGTAATTACCAACTTCAGTACAATATACGAGTTTAACACTAGTCACCTGTTTGCAGTATTGTTCTGCAGTTTTCACATTTATTCTAGTTAGAATACAAAAACATATTAGTAAATTGAACAAAGATTAAAAATTGTAGAACAAGATGAGATAGCCAGCTTTACATGGGCCTTCCTGCCCATCTTCCAGCAAATTTCTGGACTCTGACAAAGAAGCCCTCTTAACAGTTCATAATTCCACTCACTCTCACCAGTCAGCCCCACACCTTTTTCCAATCACCAGTGATTACAACCACTTATCCCATCCCTTGGCTTCTAGATAGGAAATAATTAAACAAACTCAAAAACTACAGAACTAACAGGCAACATAAAAATCTTCACTTTTTTGGTCTGGTAATTAAATGCATTCATCATTCAAGTTGTTAATCATTTCAACTTATTTGTTGGACTCCTTTTTATCTGTGCTGATATTCTGCCATCTAGGTTACCTTGATATTTTATTTCAGCCAGTGTTGTATAAAAATATATAACCACCGAGAACGCATGTGCACATGTTTTTGGGGAGATGGGCATTGGGAAGGGTGGCAAATTATTGATTTTTATCTTGTTTTAGCTCAAGTATTTATAAGAACATTTTCAAAAGCCTTCTGATGCTCTAAGTTCTAACGTGAATTAAAGATTTAGCTATTACAAGAAGTTAAAGAGCAGTCGTGAGAATATCAAAGTTTTGATTTTAAATATAAAAAGCATGTTTCACAGTAAAAATTGAGAGAACATTACATAAGTGACACTGGAGGGCAGAATTTTTGGAGGAAAAATAAAAAACCAGGTACTTACTTTGCCATGAGTTTTGCTATTCGATGACAGTCATTCTTGTCATAAAACCAGATACTGTAAATAGACACTTGAAAACATAAAAAGAAAACAAGACAAAAACTGTCAAAAATCATTTGGTAATAAAACAGCTCAGAGCAGCAGCCCACTAGCACTAAAATACACAGACTACAATCAATCTCCACTCATCTATCCTATGTATGAATGAGTATTATTTACCAGGTAATTAGGAATACTACTGAGTGCAGAAGACGCATGAAAAACAATAAAATTAGTTAGGTTAGGAACTTACATTTCGTTGGGCACTTTAAAATGTACAAAAAAATAAAATAAATTTTCATTCACAAAATGACTTTAGTTTTGCAAGTACTATACACCTTCCAAATGTTAATGATCATGAAAGCATCAAGAGCTTAATGATCATGAAAGCATCAAGAGTATCTAGAACTTATGTAGTTCTACTCTAGTTAATATTTGTAGATAAAACCATGAACTATTTCAGTTTGTTGCTTAGAGGTCAGTAATAGTTTAAGTCATACATAAAACTGCCTTAATGAGACTTCAACTCCAGTGTGGTAATTAAGCCTTAGGGGTTTTTTTGGCACCTTCACTCACCTAAAACTCTCCACTGGAAATCTGTGTGCAAGGGAGGCAGCCCTGAAATTGCAATCGTACCAGTCTTATGTTTACAGATCTACTTAATGCTAGGTACATGGTAGACTCTACTCCTAACATTTAGTAAGCATAGATCAGCTGAGGTCATGAAGGCTCTGATTCAGCAAGGCACTAAGTATATGCTTAATTTTTATCATGAGATTAGTTCAACTAAAACTTGGCTGAATCAGGTTCTAAAAATCACACTGAGTTGAAAGATACACCAAGTGAAATGGAGTAATTTTCAAAAATAATATTTCATTCCACCCTCAATGGAAGTCAGAAAGAAACCCATGCCTTTGGAAAGATGGTCTTTCCAAGAGATAGCTCAAAGCATCTGCCAAGTGTGTGAACTACAGTAATATTTAGCTACAGTGCACTGCAACTGAATTATGGTTAAACAGAAAAATATCAGTTCACAGGGCCATTGTAAAGTTCAGTAACAAACACTGAGGGATTCTTCAAAACAGATCAAGATCTTTTTCATGATTCTGGACAGAGTCATTTCAGTAACCCATTAAAATCTTTCAAGATTAGAAATATTTCTGTGTTCTATTGAAATAAGCTATTTCTCTGAAGGACATCCTTGCCAAGTTTTTAGATATTGTAATTTGCAAATGGAACACGCCTAGTGGAGATTTGGTTTATTAGAAGAATTGTATTTGGATTTCCTCGTTCTGCTTAATGTGTTTGTTTACCAGATACTCATAGCCAACAAATGGAATGCAAACAGGTAGTGAACAGATTCCTGAGTTGGCAGATTCTTTTACTGGGTTTGTCAATAACATTTATCTCTAGCCTTAATTAGAAGCAGTGCCATACTGAAAGCAACAAAACTGTTTCCATTTATTTATTGTATGTCAAAGAAAGGATACTAGCTTCTAACATTTCCACATCATAAAGAGGCACTTGACCTCACCCATGTGAGTAAAAGATTCCACCTATCAAAGGTAGTAATTCAGTTTGTCGCTTTATAAAAATAACATTAAAAAAAAAATCCACTACCTTTCGACTGCAGTTCTTGTTAAGATTTTTATGACGTCTGAGCCACTATTTGGTTAAACTATCCTTCAAATTCAAAGAAAAAAAATTCTTAAAACTGAAGTTCATATTAAGATAGGCCAAAATAATTTCATATCAGGGCTCAATGGGGATCCAGAAAACTTGATTTACCAACCGTAACTTACTAAGCCTCTGTAAGGACTTGTCTACACTGCCCTGCAGTTCAGACTATGGGAATGTGAATAGCAGTGCACACCAAAGTGCTGTGCTGTAACTCCCAGTGTGGATGCTGCTGGCGTGAACTAAAAGCTTCCTAGTTTGTGTCACGCAACCAAGGTAGATTGACCTACGGCACTCGCATTCTTACACATACAGTTTAAGGCAAATTGAAATATAATTTTCTAGGTCTAATCTTTGGAATTTATTAAAAAGCATGCAAGAGGCCCAACATTTAGGATCTGCAGCATGGATGACAGGCAACAACCTTCTTCAATCATAAAATCAAGATGACTGAATTGAAGAAATATACTATTGCCAGAAACTGAGCCAATAAAGAGAGTCTTCATACGTGCAAAAATTAAAAATGTTTTATGGAAATAATATGAAAAAAACCTTATGATTGAGAGAGAATTAAAAAACCCAAACAACTATTTGAGCTGCCAACTTAACATTATGAAAGCTTGGTTTCATTTTAAACCATTTCTCCCTTAGCAGGAACACATTCTGTAGCATAATTGAGCATTATAAAAAGAGCATCTTCTCCTTCCCCACTCCATTAACAGAACTGCCAACAGGAAAAAAAAAAATTCTTCAAAAGCATATTTGCTGAAGAAATAAAGATAAGAAACCTATAATGATAGCTTAATGGGGGAAAACGATAACAGTCACACTCAATTCTGCCAGAAACAGACCAGCACAAGACCAGAAATGCATCCCAAATCTGCTCTGTCTACCAACATATCATAATGTTTCATTCTGTGCTGCTGGCAAGGAGTCATAGGGAGTTATCATGAAAGGCTGTCAGTGTCATTTATGATGGAAAACAGATTACCAAACTATTTACAAGGTTTATTAACAAGATACCTATTCAGTGTGGATTTCAGACACTTTCAAAGATTATGGTACTCACTTTTCCTCCCTCTTTTTAACAGCACAACAAAAATCAGATGTTTTATACATAAATTAATATTAACATTTGATTTTTGAAAATGTTTCTAATTATATGTTCATGTTTGATATGCAAACTACTGCATTTTATTGTTGCACATTTAAGACATTGCTTAACAATCCTTTTACAAGATGCAGCAAAATTATTAAGTGTTTACTAATTCCTTTTAAATTGATGTCCTTTCAGCTGGTTATATTAAAATCCTGCTAAATGTGCCCTTGTATGCAAGGAAAACAGTAAAAGATCCTTTCTATTACAGCACTGATTACATCTAGCCTAATTGAACACAACATTATTTGCTTGTGATTAGTGGGATTTATTGTAAAGACTATGTATCTCTTTAAAAACGCTGTGTGAGAGATTACTTAGTTTCACTATTTCAACGGTATCAGTGTCATCTGTTGATGCATCAAGTGTACAGTCGCTTTTCTTCCTATTGCAACAAGAAAATACTTGATTTCATTTTCACTCAGAATGGACAATTGCTGAATTAGTTTAAATGGTGTTGAACATAAAATAGTAAATTATGGTCTAATCCATTATTGTGTTGCTCCAGTTTTTCCACTGATGTCACTCTACTAATGCTTTTCCTCTATTTTTATTTTAAATTTACTGAAAGCGAAGCAACATTTTTAGTGGTAAGACAGAAATGCTGTTATTGTTTCACACCAGCCACCAGTATCTTCTGTTAGATTTGTATTTTGCATATTCACGCTGTCTTTAACATAATTAGTGTCATTCCTGGGCCACATCATAATTTATTCCTGGTTTGTCAACTCAGATTTGGTTATCTTTAATGTAATTCTGCTGTGAGATTAAAATGCCAGCTAAAATTCCTATGCAGTATTTTTTGTTCCATGGCTATTTTGTTACATTCTTTCTGAACCATTATTACTTAGCGAAATATGTTTAAAAAGAAAAAATTCATAGAAATTTCTATGAATGGCGACAAGAGTTTATCCTGCCAAGGGAGCACAATACTAGTTACTATAGTTCCAGGATGAAGGCTTTGAGAAATACAAATGTATCATATTCCATTGTTTTTAAATCAGGAAAAATTGCAGAACAACAATGTCACATAAAACAAGACCTAACAACAGCTGCCGGAAAACATTCTATAGGTCACACGAAAGCAAAAAAGAAAGATCATCTCAGTGAAGTGTGGAACCTCAAAACACAGCACTCTAGGACAGTAAAGGAAACCATGCACTTTTCTTCTTGGCAGTTGGTTAGAACAAACTGAGGATAATCAAGGAAACAAAACTCCTAGCTATTTAACCTGTTGTCCCAGAGAAAAATTAAATGAATTAACTTGATCAGAGAAGACATTCTCTAGTCTAAATAGTATTCCAGATTTACTAGTAGTGTGTGCTAAATCCTTTACCCAACGTACTTGTAAAAGCCAAATGCGAATGGATTTGCTCTGAGACAAATCAAGTTGCCTCACGCAGCCACAACATAGATTACTACTTTGTAACAGTGACCCAAAATAGGAAAGTCACTGCTGTTAAAACACTGTCTCCAAGACCATACTATTCACTCTTCTTAGTATCCTTAACCTGAACGTTATCTCCTCTCTCAAAAAACCAAACCAAACCAAACCACAACAACCACAAAAAACCCCACACTTGTATTTTACCTCTTCTCTCTATAAAAGAAGCAACAAGCTACCTCCTTATCTTGGACCAGAAGGTTGAGCTAATGCAGTTGCTATAGAGCCATTCTCCCTCAGCAATCATGGAGACATGTCATGCTGGCAACATTGCTGATAAAAATGATAATGGGACAGTATCTTAAGGCTAAGACACACAGCACTAAAAGCAATTATGCAACTTATTTTTTTACATTTTGTTTGTAAATCTTGGGAAATGAAACAACTACTTTGGTTTTTAGTGTTCTGGATACAGAATGTACTTTTAAAGCTTTAAAAAGTCATTAAATGACAACCAAAGAAGACAGCAGCTTGTAGTTCAGATTTCATTTTGAATATCAGTGCGCTCCCCTCCCCCCTCAAGGATCTACCTTCTCTGTTGCATTAGCTCTCTTACCCTTGAACTGGGAAAGGGCAAGCAGAGAACTAAGGCAAGGAAACACCAGAGTACCATATTTCTTCTCTTCTTAATATTAAAAGTTTATGTTTAGAATCTATCTTTTCAGCACCATGGAAATTAATTCTCCTGACCTATCCAGTGAACTAGCTTTGATTAAAAAACCTCTACATCAAGAAAGAGACTTCAGATACAAAGGGAAAATTATAAATGAAACAGAATTAGAAGCATACTTCTTGCAAACTTTTAGAGGTAAGTTTATTACTGTTTAATATGTTCGACATTTTCTTTCACTGTAAAGCAGACTAAACTTGTTGAGAATATTACTGCAGAGCAATCATAATCTGGCACATATTTTAAATGAAGTTAAGATTTGATTTCAACTACACAATAAACATTTCAAACTACAAATGCATAATGTTGTTGCTATATGTACTTCCACCAGTACAAATGAAGGGACGAGAAATCATGGGATGTGGAATTCTACGAAAAGCTCACAATGCATGATTTAAACAAGATTCTGGGACAACAGTAAACATACATTTAAAAGGTTGTTTTTGATGCTATCACTGTGATTCAAATGCTTCTTGAGGGAAAAAAAATGTAAACTTCTCAAACAGCACGAACTATAAGAGTCACCTTATGTCAGAAAAGATTAAGGGAAATTGACAAGTGACCACAGTCCAAGCAGCAACTCTGTATTAAACAATACTGGGAGTGGGGAAATGTGAACAGTTTTGCCACATATTATATATTTTACGATCCACATGTATTCAGTCCCATACATACATAGACTGTACTATGAGACAGTATGATGTGCACACTGGCAGAGAAAACAAAGATTTTTTTTCCTAGGAAAAATCTTAAAATAAATTCAAAATGTGTCAAAGACTAAAAGAAATCAGCTAACTCCAAGAAATCTCACACTTGGAATCATTCTCATGCTTTCTCCATTGAATTCACTACTACCTAACACAGAGATTGAATATTTCTTCTTGTTATCCAGTCTAGTAATAACTCCACTCTACCAGAATATCACCTTAATTGGTATAATGTCAAATAAGATCTTAAGTCATCATAAATTGTCATTTCTGCAGCAGAGAGATCTGATACATAATGGATAAAGGATTAGAATTTCAAAGCAGTATTATATACAATTTTTGAAGCTGACATGACCTGCCTCACTAATGATTAAAGAGTTTTTGGTACTGTTCTAGGATGCAAATAATCTGTCTTAATCCTACTGATGTTTTGAGAAAACAAACGTATTTGAAATAGGAAAAAGTTTTTCTGTTTATATTCTTGAGTTTGGAAGATACATGTAAATTTTATTCTTTAAAGTTATTTGTTTTAGAAACTCTATTTCTCTTTGTAACACACCACTCAGAGACAGATACAATGGATAAATGATCTCATTAGAGACTTAAATTCAATGAGAGGAAAAAATGAAATAAAAAAAACGTATTAGGTCACTTAGTCCATCCTCGTGACAGTACAACCCATGAAAGAGAATATAACTGTTAAATTAATAAATGCGTGTACCAAACAAAAATGTTTTTCAGACACATGCAGAGTACTCAATAATACTGCTGAAGAAACAGAACGCTCTAACAGAATAGTATTCAATTCTAACTGCAAAACTAAATGACCTAATAGGAAACATTTTTATTAGTCCAATACTAAAAACATTAAAGGCCATTTGTACCATCAGATGAATACTGCAATATATCTGAGGTTTTTGTTGTGCAGTAGCTACAAATCAGCTCTAATGCACGATAAACTAGTCATAGCAATTCTGCCATAGCAAAAATGCGCATGCAAGTCATAACCCATGGGGCCTTTATGAAATGTGTGGACTACAAAAAAAACAAACAAACAAAACAAACGCCTGACAAGCAAATCATTCCTACTCTCCCCTCCAGCCAGGCAAGTTACCTGTCAAAAGCAGCCAGCATTAAAATAATCATCTGAGGGCTACTTTGTGGCTGACATGAGACCAATCCAGTTCACAGTCGATAGATATTTGTATCACTCAAGGATTTCCCATGCTGTTAGTCTCAGCAGAGGTGTCACGGACTGAACCGGTACCTCTTTTCCCCAATGATCCTTTCAGGTCAAGGCATAACGGCAGGGCATGGTGAAGAACTTTGCAATGCCATTGCCTTCACAGTTCTGATATGTTTTAAAAGTGTTATTGATATGGCACTTTTTTAAATCAACATTTAACCTGGCAAAATAATTTCCCTTCACCATCTTTTACCCCTTGCTGTATGTCCCTAGGGAAGCGCAAATCTTAGTTCACAGCAGGACCACAATTCTTATGATAAATGAAACAGATTAACTCCTTTCAGGATCTGAAATGTGGAGCAGCTTTGGTGGCCATGATATGGGCTGATGTTTTACGAGTTCTTGAGAAATGCAAGGCATTCCCAGCCCACCAGCTCAGGAAGCAGAATAATCAGTACAAGTTTTCCTCATCACATTGAGCACAAAGTTATCATTAACTTAGACTACCACAGTGGGTTTCATAAATGAGCCTGCTTCCTTGCCTATTTTGAAATGTTCCTTTCTTTAGCTTAGAAGTGCTCATTGTATGGACCTCATCAAATTCAGTGAAAAAATAACAAACAAAGGGAGTATGTAATTAGGCCAGTTCAGGATTTTAAAAGTGAAATCGCTGAAAAGGCAGAAATACTAAATTATTTCTAAAAAAAGAAAAGGAGTACTTGTGGCACCTTAGAGACTAACAAATTTATTTGAGCATAAGCATCTGATGAAGTGAGCTGTAGCTCACGAAAGCTTATGCTCAAATAAATTGCTTAGTCTCTAAGGTGCCACAAGTACTCCTTTTCTTTTTGCGAATACGGACTAACAAGGCTGCTACTCTGAAACCTAAATTATTTCTAGTGACCATGCTTGGTTGACTTGGTAAAAACGCACAGATGTTTAAATATCCTCTCTCTGGAACTGTTAAATGTTACTAATATGAAGGGCAGAACAAAAGGCTGATTTTCCATAAAGTAATCCATTAGTATGAGAGTGGGGTGGAGAAATTTGCATATATAGAGAGACCAGAATTTTCCCCACCCACTCCCCTAAACCCTGTAATCCTCAATTTCTCTCCTAAATGCAGTAAACAAATATATTTATAAGTTCTATACTATTCTGTTGCCCCACAACTTGTAATTAGGGGCTAACAAAACTGTATTATACTGGAAATAATGCTTTCTTTTCCAAATGACTTTGAAATTGCACAGGAGTTTCTCAAAGCAACCAACTGTAAGAAAAAGGGCAGACTCTCTTTTCAGAGCAGTATTATTCCCATGATTTTTTGACCTTAAGTAAGAGAAAAAGCCTATCATAAAGATAAGATAATGGGCTACTGCATAGTTGCACCTTGAAAGGAGGAAAAGAATTTAAGGCAACATTCATGAATTATCTCCCTCTAAAATACAACTTACTAACCCGAGGGTAAGTGCTCTTCAGATACAGCCCACTCATTTTATTTCTCTAAGAAAGGGGTTATCTGGTTTACTCTGTCTATGAAACAGTATTCTTTTAAAACTGGACATCTCCATAAATTATGTTTTCTTTGAAGTTTGAATGTCAGGGAAATTCTAGAAGTTCAGAAATCTCAACAGGACAATTTACTCATACAACTCCTAATTAACTATCATAATGGATTCTTTGTGCAAAATCTAAAGCTACTGTACTGCTCATGTACAATAGGCTGCTAACAATGCAATTTTTACACAGTATAAGAGGTAATTTTTCTCTCCCAAACTAGCAGTTCTTTCTCTGAATAGGATCACAATATGGTTTAACCTTGACAAAGGCTTTCTTGGCACCATTTCTACTGAAATCTTTACAGAATGGGCATTAAGAGCTGGCTCTAAACGCTTTCTGTTGTTAATTGAATGCACTATGGGTATAACACCTGAAACAGAAATACACTGATGCCGAGGCAAGGAGGAGGAGGAGAAATACACTCCTCTTTTGTTTCCCAGACCCCTAACCAAAAATTATGGCTTAACTACCCATGCACTGAATTTATACAAGCTGAAGGATTGTGTTCCAGAAAGCGCTGCCACTGACTGTTTTTAATTGGAAAGACACAATACAGACAGAGGAGCCCAGATCTGATACTCAAGATTGTGTCAGCTACATTTGCCTCTCTTATAGGAGGGGAGAAGCTAAACATTAAGAAATTTACATATGTGAGGAAAAAGTGAGGAAGCAAGTCCAAAACTCAAAAATTGAAATGGGGAGGGAGAAGAAAGGGGAGTAGGAGAAGAAACTAGAATCATATGTAATATAAAGCCAAGATGTAGCTCTCTATGCTCTAGTATTGAGACTTAAAAATTGATTTGGATGGAGCTAAGCAAATACTGATGGACTCGGAGAGAGGTAGTTAAAGGGGGTCAGCTGTCTGTGGCTCAAAGGAAAAGGACTGAATTCAGAATTATAAAACTTCACCTAATAATACTGCATATTGTTACACAGGCTCAAGCTCAATGTTTTTCTTGCATGGTTAAAGGGTACAAAATATTTCTGTACATGTGTGTGGAGAGGGAATGCATAAACATGAGTCCACTGTATCCTAATGTAAAGAAAAGAAGCTCCCTCCCCTGAGTTGAGCAGTCCCCTCCACTCCACAACAGCCTCATTTCCAGGAAACAGCTGACTATATTCTCACCTTCCACTTGCAAAATAAGACACTGAAAAAAACTAAAACCATATGAAATCATAAGCCACAGTCACAAAAAAAAAAATTTTTTTTTCAAGTTTAAAGTTACACATAAGACGTAACCGGATGCAGCAGAATTGTTCTACAAAGTTTCAGAAAACTTTAATTCCATTTTGCATACAACATACCACCCTGTATACTTGATTCCTTTTCTAAAAGAAAAAGTTGACTTATGACCTAACAGGATGAATATCAAACTATGTATAGCGCCCCTACATTGATAAAAATGGTTAAAATAAACAGCAACTTCAAGGTAATGTGCAGCTACACATAACTGTATTAAATCAAGTAGCATAGACAAGGAAATAGCCGCAGACATTTCATTAGCATCTGACATATTACATTGTGCTTGAAACAGACCATTAGATCACAGAACCTGAAAGTGGCCTACATCAGAAGACAGAGTTTGAACTTCTATATAACAGATTTTTAAAACATCTATACTCACAGCTAGCGTTTCTGTAAAGAAGAAAAGGTTCATGCAGTTGAAATTCCAAGTCTTTATTTACTGGCTCAACTAGGTTGTGCATATTCAGTCGATTCACAATCGTAAAACCATAGTAGGGAGAAGCTGACCTGTTGTTTCATTGAGAATAGAGTAATTTGTTAAATGTATATCAAGTTTTTACTTAACAAAAATATTATCATGTCTATGCTTTCAAATGCCAAAACAAAGCCTGGATTAAAAGTATAATTTGTAATGCCATATATGCTTAGTTAAAATAGCCACCTTCACAATATATTTTTATGACAAACTGTTATGCAGTTCAACCAAGCATTACTAATATTCTGTTCCTTACCTTCACATGAAACTTTACCAAGATAGACAGATATATTTACTGGTTTCTGCATTTATAAACATATCTAGTTTATACTAAACTAGTTACTAGTTATATAATCATGTTTACATGTAAATACCCCAAACCAAATATATCATGCAATATAAAACCAAGCCTATGCACATAAGAAAACATTTTATAGGTTCAAATGAATTTCTACAGCATAACAAATAGTCAAAGATGAGTAAAAGACAAAAGTTACTTTAATAGAAGTACTTTACATGATCTATCTAGAGTGATCTACGTGGAAAAACTTTCTAGTTTTAATAAGTAATGGCAAGAATGGATAAAACTGACACTTTCGGTGAGCAAAACAGTGAAAAATCAAAGCAGTAACAGATTTAAAAATATTCCTCATATTATTAGAAGAGAACACTCAATGAAATTTTAAAAAAATCAGCAAAATTAAAACTGATTGAAGGAAATACTTCAGTTTAAATTTTCCTTTTTAAAATGTTATAGTTTATAATTGACTTGTTGAACTTGGCACTTCAAGATATTATTGAGGCCAATGGGTTTAATACGGATTCAGAACAGGATTTAACTACAGATGACATCCATTATGAAAAATTACAATCCTGAAAAGACTTATGCAAATACTGAATCTTATGCACTGCGAAAAAGTACCTTTGAAGTCAATGCAATTGCTCAGAGTGTATAAAGGTAAGAATGGGCAATGAGTCATTGTAAGATCAGGGTCTTGTGGGTTTAGACCCCTTGTGGGTTTCATGGCATAGGACAGTTACTAAGGGCCTCATCCATAGATAACTGAAGTAAATGGAAACACATTGATTTAACTGGGCTTTGGGATCAGACCCTTTCTGCCTGGAATTAGGAAGAAGCTTCTCTCATATGTTTCTTGTACAAGGTGATTCAGTGGAATTGGGCACTACCAGACAGGATATTGGACTAGATAGTCTTATTGGTTAAACTGGTATTGCAAATGCTAGTTTCCTAAAGTCTTCTGGAAAGACCTTTGCTGGCTTATGAGATTTTATCAGCTTGAAAAGAATGTTTATATTTCCTCATAAAAACTCTCTTGGCAAAATTTACCTCTACCTTAAATAGACACAATTTCATTAGAATCAAAAATATTAAGAGAGTTGAGCATGATTAAAAGAGTAGGGAATATATTCCGAGAGGATGCAAAAGCACCCCAACTTGCCTCACAAAGGGGGAGTTCCCTCCCCCCATAACCTCAAAATAGTTCCAAAAAGAAAATGAATATATAGAAAAATTGCTTTGACAAGCATAACAACATTTAACTTCTAAATATTCTGTGCAAGACTTGCTTTAGAGTCTAGTTTTAGAAAAAGGCAAGCAAACACTTTAAGGTCAAAACAAAACAATTTCATATTTGTTTCCTCTTAAATTATTAGATTATAATATATTCTTATGCTCAGCTATGCCTTTTAACACTTATGTGAACATAGCAGCAAGATGACTTTTTTCTGGTCATATTGTGAGGATACTCTGAGGAAAAATACACAACCACAAACAAAAATCTGCTACATTATATTCAGATGTGATTAGCTGTACAGATTTCATCAACATCACGGCTACATTCACTTACGACCCAATCAGGAAAGGTGCTGAGAGCCTCCTGAGAGGCGCTGAACATACTTGATTACAAGATTTATGCACATGCTTAATTTTACTACTGCAAGCAGATCCCATTGAAATCAACAGGACTACTCATGTAGTGAAATTAAGCAATTGCTTAAGTGATTACAGGAATGGAGCCCAATGGACATTCAGAACCTCACAGTGCCACTGACAAAAGAAATACTAGTAATATTAAATGGGTTGTTGCCTGTCTCAGGATGGATAAATTAATTCTCCATTCACATTTCTTGCATCTAACGGAGCAGTAATTCATTGTTAAATTAGTTATTTGCCTTTGGTTTAAGATGAAATATTTACATGTTATTTCTCATTAAGGAAATATTGGGACATTTCTCTCAAAGTCACCTGTTGAACAAATCAAAAATCCCAAATCTGCACACATACAGACTGTTAGTTTTTAAGTGACATAATCTGTATCACAACCAGTGGAAAATGGCAGACCCATTCACTGGAAACTATTTTAAGAGAGATTTGGAAAAGAATATAAATTATATAATCCATAATTTCTGGAATATGGAAGGTAGAGGAAACACCATCACTTGGGTCATTTAAATCACTCAGGAATATATTAGGGAATGATGCCTTATTACCAAAATTATTAACAAAACAACCTAATTACGACTTACATTTCTATGATTCTCTCTTTGTTTTATTCATTTATTTTCTTCACGATCGTTACTGAAAAGTTGTGTATGTGCTTTTTGAAGAGTTATATGCCGAGGTGCTAAATTTCTTTTTAAAACAGGCAGTTGGAGGTGAATTTCTGGTCAAATATCAGAATTAACTGGAAAGCCTACTATGACAAAATCTAAACTTAATAAATAGTTACATACTACACTAAAGGATTTTTGTGTAACTTACCTTCTGTACACAAATAAGGTACCTTCTATGTCAGTCTTCTCCTACAACAGATAGCAATTATAGTTATTTTAGTGATATGCTTATTCACACAGTTATGCAGCATTCTAACAAACGAGTTTTTAGTATCTTCTCACAAAGAGGTTTGACATCATAGGCCTCAGATTTAATCTCTTATCTTTTCAGTGAATTGCTAACCCTTTAAGGCAAATATGTAGTTATACATGTCACCTTGTTGATAAAAACAACTATTCAATTTTGAAAGTAATGATAAATTTCTGATTACTTTCCCTTCCTAACCAGCTTCACTAGAAAAGTTAAAATTAAGTATTTTCTTTATATTAACCCCATATTCATGCATACTAATACATGTTTTACTTTGCAAATTAAAAAAAAGTTATATCTTGTAATGAGAAGTTTCAATGAGACTTTTTTGGACATATCTTGTATTATAATTTTATGCTATGCACCATGACTTTGTTCTATACATTAAAACTTAGCTAAAAAGAAAAAAACCCTTATGCTTTACCATCTGCAAAATAACATCTGACTCCAGCAGATAACTCTTGAGTTCAACTGGAGTACTCATGTGGAAAGTTATGCACATGCTTACGTTTTTGCAGGACTGAGATCTCAGAGGCTACTCAGTTACAACCATGTAACTGGAAGCCTATGTGTCTTTGACAAGATTTTTTAAAAAGTAATCCCAAACCTCTTTACACTCATGCTACCTTCTTTTTTAGCAATGTAGTGTATATTGATGGTCTTTATTTTCAAAACTGAAAAACATTCTTGAAATTAAACAGAAATTTTATTTAAGCAAAACAGTCATTTTCAACATTTCTCAAATCCCATACTTTGTGAACGTCAACATTACCAGCTAGTGGAAAGTGACAACTAAAAAAGGTGTACACACACACAAAAATTAAAAAAAGAAAAAATCTACAAAAACAAAAGAGTGAGAGTATAAAGGGTGACAGGCTAAACTACAATACGTGCTACAATTATAACAGCATACATTCAAGCAATGTCACAAGGAAAGTCTGTTCTTTCCTATCAGACATTGCATTTCACTCTGTCTGGTGTTGCCTCTGATTTAAATGGTCTCCACAGCCTAAGAAGAGTCCGAGCTGCTGGGGGGGGGGGGGAGGGAAGGTGTGAAGATCCCAAACTTCTCAGAGTCACAGCCCCTACCCCGCAAATCACAGTCCCAAAATCTGAACGGCCCTGACCCCTGTGGCCGCCAGTCCCGGTGGGGGAAGAGGAAGGGCGGGTCTGGGGCTGCCACTCCGCACTGGTGGGGGGTGTTTCGGTTTCTCCCGGGAAAGGGGCAGGGTGGGTCAGTGGCTACATCCGCGCGCTGATGATAGGGAACGAGTGTGTGTGTGGGTGTCCGCTCCCCGGGAGTAGGGGCAGGGCCTGTGCCCAGCTCTCCTCCGCGGGGAACGCGGGGTGGAGGGGGTTGGTGTCTCGCCACACGGTTAAGGGGAGGGATCTGTAGCTCTCGTTGGGGGCGGGCGGAAGGCAGGCTCCAGCTCCCCACTTACCCACTCGTTGGCTTTGGGGCTGAAGCTGTAGAGCGCGACCTGGCCGGTCACGTCGGCGATGCTGGTGATGTAGGGATCGTGCCGCTTTAAGGCCGCCAGGCTCATCTCCTGTCCCGCTTTACTCAGCGACTCCATCTTGGATCCCGGGAGGAAGCGGAGGCGGAGAGAGCGAGCAGCGCGGAGTCACGTGTGCAGCCTTCCCTGCTTTCGCCCGGGCACGGCGGCCTCGGCGTCGCCCGTTCCGCCCTGCAGCCGCTGCGCTTTGGTTCCGCTTGCTGGGCACAGGGCTAAGGCCCGCCGGCCGCCCGGGATGCTGTCAGGGAGCCAGCGCCTTTCCCCGTACCCCCGCAGAGCTCCTAACGGGCACTTTTGTCCGGGAACCCCAGCTCCTCGGCAAGGCACTGCTCGGAGTACAGAGCCCCCAGGCACCCCGGCGGGCTCAGGCCTCCCTAATAAGGATCTGCCCCGAACTGGGCAGTCGGAGAGTTTGCCTGCCCTAGAAAACGAGGTGGTGTTAGCTAGCCTGGCGCTGAACACGATTTTGTGGTCAGTGCAGACCGGGCCTGTGGATGGCGCCTGACAGGCTGAACACACTAATCCCTGTCTGCACTTGCTGCAAAATCGTGTTTAGCATCATATTAGGTAACAGAGCTTAATCTTCTATTGAAGACAATCCGGACGGACTGACACCCCTGCCTGCATCCCCAGGCACCTCTGCAAAAACCAGTAACACTCCCACCATGGACCTCTCCCAGGAGCTCTGCAGGACCTTCTCCTCCTTCCCCGCCATCTGGAGCCCCAGGGGTTCCACCGCTCTGGGCCCAGCAGATTCCTGTCCTTGGCTTGAATCCCTGAGGTTGTACTCTCCATTCCAGTAGAGATGTGTCCCCAGAGCCCTGAGGGGCCTCCCATGGACCTGGCTATCCCACACCCTTGTACGCACTCCTAGCAGGGTTATTGACCCCTGAGTCCTGTGGGATTTACCAACCCTGAACAAGGAACTGTTGACAGCACGGTGGGATTCAAAAGCAAATGGCCTTATGGGGTTTTATTTCAGATTTCCTGTGTGCTAGCTTCAGCTCCACCTAAAGTCTCTCACAAACAGCTAAGAGGCCTGCAGGACTTACCAGGTCCTTACCCCTGCTTACCAGGGGGGCTTTCCCACTCCGTAATGGTGCCCAGTTAATATGAAGCTGCTGGGGTGAAGAAGAAGGAGGAGGAGCAGGTGGTTGCCTCAGGGCTTTGTTGGCAATTATGTGAGAGGACAAAATAAGGGAACAGGCACTTATGGGGTGAGGCTTTCCCTCGTGCCCTGCCTTCTTATTCTGGCCCTGAGCTTGTTTCCCTTGAGCTACTGGTCTAGTGGGGAGATTCACAGGTCACTCTCCATTTGGTCAGTTTTTCCACATCTGGATAAGCCATGTGCACAGAAACAAGCTCGTCTGACCCTCTGCAACATGTTAAGGTAAAGGCTGTTGTATTATAAATACTTTAGCATCCTAATGTGTTACATTAATCGTTAGAGAGACAAGGTTGGTGAGGTAATGTCTTCTGTTGGACCAACTTCTGTTGGTGAGAGGAACAAGATTATGAGCTACACAGTGCTCTTTTTCAGGTCTGGAGAAAGTATTCCAAAGAGCTCGAAAGCTTGACTCTCTAGTCTCTCACCAATGGAATTTGGTCCAGTAAAAGATATTACCTCACCCACCTTGTCTCTAATATCCTGGAACCAACAGGGCTACAGCATTAATCATTGACATATATGGGTAATGCCTCTAGCACACATGGATGTGGAGCCTCAGTTTATTTGCTTTGATTAAAATTGGGCCTGATGGATACTACTGGTTTATAGAAAGAGCCTTACTGAATCAGACCAGTGGTTCAACTAGTCCAATATTATGTCTCTGACAATAGCCAGAACTCCAAGTTTATCTATCTTAGGTATTTACATGGCCTCCATTACCAGAGTATCTTGCGATCTTTAATGTATTCAGCCTCACAACGCTCCTATGAGGCAAGGAAGCACTCTTATCCCCATTTTACAGATGGGGTTCTGAGGCTGAGTGACTTGCCCAAAGTCACACTGGAGATCTGTGCTAAAGGAGGGACTTGAAACCATGTCTCCCAAGGCCTATGTTATTGCCCTAAACACTGGACCATCCTTCCTCCCTGAAGTACAGCAAATGTAGTTGACAGTTATGGAAAAAACATGGAATAACCTGCCTATAGGCAATATTTTTTTTCTAAGCCCTTGTATTTAGAAGTTTGTTGCTGCACTGAAACATGTGGGTTTATGTCCCATCCAAAGCCTATTTAATGTAACTGTATATGTGTAGTAGGGGACTGAGCAAAATATTCATAAAATGGTTTGAAAACCTCACATTTGTGGGTTTTTTGCATTTAATTTGCTCTTAGGGGAACTGGTTTTATTTTGTGAAAAGCCTTCATAATGCTACCTCTTTAGACCATGTAGCTAGTCAAAGTCTGGGGCCCTGCAGGTTGTTCCAGTTGGGAGTAGAAATTGAGAGTGGAGTCTGGTCTTTGTTTTGATGAAATCCTGTTTATTTACAAGGAATGTACAAAGTCCTGCCTCCTCCCTGATCCCCAAATCTTATGAGGGGTGCAATAGTTGAAAAGTTCACAAGGTAAACCTTATGGTGTTCCTAGGTTCTCTATCTCCCTTCCAGGGGTTTTGCAGCCGGAAGGCCTGATATAACCCGTATAGTTTTGTCTTCTATGGGCTCTGCAGTAGTAGTAAACTAGCAAACACTATTGTCAGAATGCCATTGATATAATTTGTGATGCAGGTGTACAAAGCTAGGACCAAATTCTGCTTTTCAGCATTCTTGCATAATTTCCATTAAGGGCCAGACTGTAAAGTGCACATGTACTGATACATAGAGTGGAGGAACCTTCTCACCTTGTGCATACCCCTGACAAGAATGAAGAACTTTTCTTGTCAGGTGCCCTGGGAGTCTTGCATTGCTCAAAAAGGTCAGGGAGGAGTCCAGGGCTTGTTGAGTGGGCTGGCTGCACCAGAAGAACAGGCTCCCCCATCCTAAAGGATTAACATTTGAAAGGTTCAAGGAGGGTGCAGTCTGCACACCCACTGTGCATCCAGAAGCTCAAGATAGGATTGTGCCTCCCTGTGACACAATCTCACCTCAAGCAATCCCAGGGGCAGTATCACTCCACATTGTCCTTTACTCAGGCCTCCCTTTTATCTGGTACAATCTAACCCCAAGTCTGTTAACTTTAATGGGGGCTTACAAGGGCACAAAATGGCATCTATGATGAGGTAAAATGCTGTATATTGTGAGTTAAACTGGTTGAGTACTATTCTTTTCTGTATTAAATGGAGGGAAAACAGTCACGAAAAGGAGAAAACAAAAAATTTATTTGAAAGTTATTTTAAACAAAAAGGGTGTCTAACATTCTAGAGAATGAAGGAAATATGTACAAAAATTTAAAAATCCTTTTGAACTTTGGATCTCAGTAATGTTTCTAATGGTTGCAACAAAGAGGATGATCCTCGTCTTCATGTCAGGCTCAGACAAGCCTGCTCTAAAGCAAACATAGCTTTCAAATTAATGTAATGAGAAAATCTTGACAAAGGGCAGCTTTCTGCAATGCCAGATCTTCTTTACTGCATCTTGAATTAAAAGTGAAACATGAAGAGCACTGATAACAGAATCAAGTGGGAGTTTTGGTTAATGGATTGTTTTCCTCCTTCATCCTCTAACCCTAGTTCCGCATTCTAGCCGATTTGTTCTCCTTTCCCTTCTTCTCTGCTGGTGCCTCATTGTGTGATATTTTATATCAGAAATGAATGAATAGTGTGGGCTCCCATCTGCTTCCTCCGCCCTGAAGTACACTGAAGTATGTGCTTAGCCTCAAACTTAGATCTCTGTGTAAATGTTGCATCCTGGTCGGATTGTTCAGTAGCTATTGTATATTGTGAATCTCTTTGTCCTCCTTTGAGTTATGCAGCAGTTAGTGGTGGGAATATGTTCACCTATTATTCTATACTTTCATTTCATGTACTGACATGGACAGAAGTGGGGTGATGTTCAGAACAATCTTTTGGTGTTTTCTGTTTGTGTAGGATGTTTTCCATTTGTTGTGCTTCAACAAATTAAAAGTACTTTATGTTCTATATTTCAATTATTCAATCAAGGTTTCACAGGCTAGAAAAATACAAAGTTATATCCTACTACATAATGTAAAATTAAAACAAACTAAAGGATAGCGATTCTCCTTCTCCTCTACCAATGGTTTGCTTCTGCCAGGACAAGCTATCTCCATTGATGGTCAGGTCCCTGGTCTGGAGCTCTGTTTATGGGATCTTCCTTTCTGCCTCTCCCCATTTTACTATCTTTTGCAGAGCAGATGATAATGAAAATTTCCCCAGAGGTTCTGATAACTCTTCTTCAGACCTTAGGTAGAAAAAGTCTTCAATTTGAAATCACCTTCTATTTCTTCCCTGGCTGACTGAATGTCACCAGAAAACAGTTTGCTGCTTTGGTTAAGATGCTGGAAGAATTCATTGAACATGCCCAGTCTGTGCATCTCATATCGTTCTCAAAAGCCCAGCCGCTGTACATGGGATATGAAAAGTCTCCTTGGGAGTAGACTGTGGTTCAGCAGTCACAGAGGTAAATTTGCATGACATCCATGAAGGTAGTGTTCTTTGCTTCCCCATGTGAAACTATGGTCACAAGTATTGTCATTCTCCAATTTTCTGCAGTTAGCATACTCCCTTTCTTGAGGCTGCTTAGCTATGTTTCTTCTTGAACCATAACAGTGGTTTCGTTACTTGGACTACTCGTTTACTATATCATTTTCAGTTTAATTACTTTTAATTTTAGCAATACTGTGTTGCTGATTCTGCAAAGAGAACTATTAAGCAGGCTCCTGCTACTCAGGCTCTGTCCTGAGCTAGCTGCCCTGATTATCACTTCCATGATTTATGCCTTATTGTAGATTTTTATTTTACTTTTCCTTCCATGAGCCAGACTGCTAAAGCTTAACTTGTCCTTTTAGTAAGGGCTGCCCATTTCTCCCATTTTTTAAAATTGGTTTCTCTTAAACTGGTTTCAACAAGTGAGAATGACAGCTTTTTGCTAGGGTTCAACTTTAAAATTTTTTTGTTTTAAT